ACAGACCGCTTTGCACGGTCCCTTTGCAGGGTCTCTCTGCAGAGCTCTCTGCCCTGCCGTGTCCCATGTGGGTGCTGTGGCACCCACGCGTGGCGGGGGGCACTGGAGATGGGGGTCTCTGTGCTGGGACAGGGAGCACGGTTACGGGTCAGGCTCTCCTTTCACTTTTCTCTTTGCTTTTCTTCTCAGCATGCGTGACCGTGCAGGAGAGGACAGCACACGGGCAAGGATTGTGGGCTCCTTCCTTGTCTCAACCCCGTGCATCTGAGACCCTCTGTCCCCAGTAACACTGCGGAGAGGCCGTTTCGGGTTGTTTTTCTCCCAGAGTTGGTCCAGTGCATGAAGGCTGCTCCTCAGTGGCAGAGCAGCAGACTTGGCCCTCTGCCTCCTTCCTGTGTCTCAGCAGTGACTCAGTTCCCGGCCGTGCCCAGCCCCAGCTCTGCACTCGCGCCTGGCCACAGGGAAGGGGGACAAGGGCTGTGACAGGCACACAGAGAGCGAGGCCACCCCGCTGTGCCCTTTCCTCTGCCGGGCAGGGAGTTTCCAGTGCCTACAGCTCATCCTGCTGGCCCCTTTCTCAGCACGTTTATCTCCCCATCACACTGACTAAAGATGCTTGGTGTTGTTTGTGTCCCAGCTCTGTTTTGGCTACTGTTGCTTTGCTGTCCCACTCTTGTCCCTTGGGAGCATCTCCTGTGGGAAGCCAGTATGCGCCGGAAACCCGTTACCCGCACGTAGCTGCTGCCTTTGGCTCACACGGACAGCGTCAGTTACGAGGCCTTGGCTACCTCGACGGGGCTGTTTATCTATGTTCCAGGAGCACCAGCTCCTGCCTGATGTGTCCATCTCCAGGTCCCAGACTGGGATATGGGGACAGCAGAGTGTTCAGCGCTGCTCCTGAGGAGTCCTGGGGATGAATCCAGGCGCAGGGGACTAGCTCAGAGCTCTGCAGTATGAGAGGTCCGTGTCAATTGGCATCGCGAGGCTTTGGGACGGGCTTCATGCGCAGAAGTTCACAGGAGGCCACCGAGCTCACGAGCTGGGGCGATGACAGTGCGACGCGACACGGGCACCCCAGCGGGGACACAACGTGCGGGCGATGACAGCGTGACGCAGTGCGGGCACCCTGGTGGGTCGGGAAGGCAGGGAAAGCATCCGCGCGGAGCCTGACATCCTGGCTCCTCGGCGAAGCCGTGCTGCTCCGCGGGGCGCCTGGTTTATTCTGATTACGTGAACGCGGGCCAAGCCACCTCTACTGACTGACTTTTTCTTGTGGCATCCCTGGCCAAAAAGGGAGCAGGGACAAGGGTGGCACTGAAGCCAGGGCAGAGTCTCCACACCTGTGAAAAAAAGGCCTTAAAATCCACCGTTGGCAGCGCGAGACACTTGGGCAGCCTCCCTGCCTCACTTGTGCCTCCGGAGACAGCCCACAGCCCCATCCTGCCTGCGCTCCAAGCGCCCAGGTCCCCGGAGGTGTCCCCGGAGATCCGGGTCACCTGCCCGGATAGCAGTGCTGTGTCTCCTCCTGGCCACAACCCGGGGACAGCTCGTGCCAAAGGACCCCAGGGGAGCCAGGATCAAAGCGTGGGGCATCAGGAGCAAACGCGACACAACTGGTCCCTCCCGCTGCTCCAGTTCGGGTCCCTCTGCTCTAATAGAGGTTTGCAGGAACGAGGAGGTGAGTCAGGAGGCAACGTGGTGCTGCGGAGCGAAAGGCAACCCGGGGTCACGCAGGTGAATCACCGAGCAGTGAAAATCGCTCT